TCAGTAAGTTTTACATATATATATATATACGCATCTAGTGTGAACATTACGAAACACCCTGCATCAATTCATTTCTTCCTAAAACACTCCATTTATTAAAGAAAGGAATTCCATATCGAGGTCAAAGCCACATAACACATTTCTAACTAGATGTGTATAAAAAGTATATCAGTTAAACTATATGTAATTAACAAATAAGATTCTATAAGCAAACAAAAAATGTATTTAACTTATTAATGACTATAATATCCTAAAATAAAAGAAAAAGTATAGAAGAAATATTTTTCTGAAAAACGTCTTACTGAAAGAATAATGTAAGAGTTATCAACAGAAACAATATTTTATTTAACCAAACTATAATTTTAAAAAAAAAAACATTTTTTAATGTAAGTATTCCTTCAAATTTTTTGTGAACTCTATCATTTAATAGAAACACAAGAGAAGCTCATTAAAAACTTTTAAAGTTTTAAACAAACTTGTGTTTCTAATCTATTATATAACTAAAATGTTATTCTTTAAAGTGAATACTTTTTATTTTATTTTAAAATAGTGTTTATATTTTAATTTACTCATGTAGTTACACTTTTTGCATTGTTAAATTACAGGATGTTTTGAGTATTTTAAAACGAAAAAGAGTTTAAAAAAAAGAAAACAACCTAGGAGGAAGGAAGAAAAAAAAGCATAACTTGAGCGTTTAAAGCGGCGAAACAAATAAAATTGCTTCTTTTTTTTGAGTTACAAATAAGCTAAGGTATTATAGAGCGGACCCACCCAGAAACATATTCAGGATAGATCAGCTTTTCAACATCTTATCTATTTTTCAAAAGCAAGAATCAACCTTTTTTTGAGTAATATAAAAAATTTCAAAAAAATTGGATTTTTCTGTCTCGGAAATAACATTGTTTCGAATAAAAATAAATAAAACATTATTTACTATTTTTAAAATAAAAACAATGAAAAATAATCATTCTCTGTAAAGTATTTAAATCCTTAATTATAAACAGCATTGTACTATTTTATATTTATAACTTAGCAAAACCCTTATCAAAAACATATCTTTTGCTGTTCTATTTAACTACAATGAAAAAAAAGTATAAATTGTGTTTATAGAAAAGAAGTTTAACTTTTTAATTGAAAAGTTTTAGGTTTCTTGAATAAAAAAATCTCAAAAAATACCAATAATTTTAAATGTAATTTTATAAAATATTTCAAAAGACTTACCATCATTATTAACATTAATGGCATCATCTTTTCTTTAATGCTAAATCTTTCAAGAACTCTTTCTAAAATACATCGTTTGAAAATCAGTATTATTTGTGTATGAAAGACATTGAAAGCTTTTATCTGCACGTGCTCTCACGTAACTTGTGTTTCCACAAAACGTAACCTCTAGTAACGGAAGACCAAGAGCAACTGATGATTTGAGAAGGAGCAAGTAGAGGATGTTATCGATAGAAGTTCGGACGCGCAAGCGCACCCAATAGATTGGAAGTAAAAATGCTTTTAGTTGACTTTTCGAAAAAATTGTTGTATACAAGCAGAGAAAACGGATTTAACTCGCAACGTAAATGTTTTAGTTTAGTTCCAACTTTATTTTTTTTCTTTCTCCGTCCCCGTCTTTTCCAGGATTATTGAGTTGTATTTATTTGTCTTTTTTTTTTGTTTCAAAACAGAAATGAAACACAAGTAATTTTAAGAGAGAAACGAAACAAGGTGTTGAAGCCACTAACAGAAAGAGGCTAAATGACTTCATTACGCGAATAACACGAAAAGGATTTTAATTCGTAGAATTTAAAACTCCTCCCCCTGTGAAAAAAATATAACTATCAAATTTACAGAAAAATACTTTTAAGGATGTGTGTATATATTTATTGGATTTTATTGGATATTATATTTTAATGATATTATATCCAATAATTAATGATATTATATTGGATTTTATATTTTAATGCAAATATATATATATTTTTATATATATATATATATATAGATTTATATA